TGAACGTAACGGAAACCTGGAGGAGTTTCTGTTGGCGAGATGCATCGTTTGTTAGTCTAAAATTTGTGAAAGTAACGATGTAAACATTTTATTTACGCCGTCGGATTGTGTGACACGTGCGAACTGCTTTCAGGCGCCGAGTTTTATCTTCAGTCCAGTTTGACGTACAAACGTGGGGATGGTGTACCGAGTGGGGGACTGGGGCATGGGCGATTCTGAACTTCAGCGTCACCCCAATCATTATGGCAGCGTACCACATCAGTTTCTGTGCCAGCACCCAGAAACTTACGACGAAAATGAAATTTCGTTGATACCACTCGGCAATCAGGTAAGCGTGCCTCAGCAGAAGTCTTCACTAACTAACTAACTAACTAACTAACTAACTAACTAACTAAGGTAAAGTTGCCGCTGGCATTTGCAAATGGAGATGTGGCCCCTCTCAGGATGGGCCACGAAGCCAGAGTGCCCTGAAATGTTTGCGTTATTTTATTAGGTCGGAGGGCACACGAGGCTTCTGATGCTGAACGAGAGGACCATCTGCAAGCCGCTTAATCCGCGAGAACTCGATTTCTACCAAAACATTCCACAAGACATCCAGACGTTTGTTCCACAGTACAAAGGTAACTTCCTTATCAGAATTAGTCTTTATCCAGTCCGATTTCGTATTTGGAGGCAGAGGCGTGAATTTTTATGTTCTTTTGCGCTTAAATCGGCATTTGAAAGCATGATGTAACGACGATTGACCGATGTCACGTGATAAATGTTGCAGCTCAGCTCTTGGTTTTCATGCTTTTACTCAGTCCCTGAAGACAAATACTTCGTTCTGTATCCGTTCTTTAATTATCGTGTATAATCTGAAGTGCTGATAGCGTTTATTAAATAGGACAAATAAACTAATACGTAATTCTGCAAGGACGCGATGTGATTGCATCATCCTTTCATTTGCTAGACCCTGAGACGTATAATGAGATAAATAATTAATTTGAGTAGTGAGTGATTCAAAATCAAGCCCTTTCTTATTTTTCGTACATAATAGACATGTTTTATTTTACTTTAAAATGTGTGAATTATTGTTTCAGTTAGAATTTGGTGATGTAACTTGTTTTATATTTTCACACTTGCTAATTATTTTAACCTTAAAATTTCTCGCCAAATCGCATCTTATTTGAGACATTTTTATTATATATTTACATTTAATATTTGTAGTGAGATTTTCATCACTTGCGTCTGTGTGTTTGACCTAAATGTTGCTGGCTTACTCTTGTTTTCACTCTCACGACCGCCCTGAACGACAGACAGAACTTTCCAAATTCGATTTATCTTCTCCCAAATTCTAAGTTTTTTTTACAAAAAAACACGCGTCGAGATCTGAAAAACTCCGAACGGACGACACGGCTGCTTGAAGTGAGTGACGCTGGAGTTCTCTTGTTGACTGCGTCAAATTGTGGTGAACGTGAAGCCACCTCGAAGCTGACAGATCGTGGCCAATCTTTGTAGACGCCAGATATTCCGACGCCATTCCATTTATTACGCCTTGCCTTGAGAGATTTCTCTGTCGGCCATTTTGATATCAGTCTGCTTCTCAAAATGTCTGCTTTTTTTTTTACAAGTAATTAGTTTTAAGTCAGTCTAAATAGCTTGAAGAATTAAACTGATATCGTGTTTTAATTATCATCAAGGAATAGACATTAATGTCGTGAATTTTATGTGGGAAGAAAAATAATTGCACATGATTTAATATTAACAAAAAATAATTAATTTGTTTACGTAGAATCTGGAGGGTGACGAAAGTGTACGAAGTGGTCGTGCACTATTTTAGCTTGGAAACACAAGCTTGATAGTGAAAACAAGATGTGCGCCAATGGGAATTCAGTGTGCATTGTATATGATAGTGAATGTGTTTATTGTGTTTGCTTCTACCCAGTTCCACGTGTTCATGAAAGAGTAGCCAATATAAAATATAGAAAACTTTTACATCTGCTTACATTTCAAGACCATTGGATGTTGGTTGAAAAAAGAAAAATTAAGATATTTCTGAATTTAAAATAATAGTGACGTTTTTCTTGTACGAACCGGACATTATTTTCTATTGGCTATTTTCTTGTGGGCAGCGTTTATTAATGCTTGTGTCCTTTTGGCTAGGAATCCATTATTTGTGAACTAGATTTTTTGCTAAACTCATTTGAAAGACTGTGAGTTATAATTATGGGGAAAATGACATTCAACTAATGGTTTTTATTAAATAACTCATAAGAAAGTTAAGTTATTTTATGGTTGTACAGATGTGCCGACTCATTCTGTATCTCTTGCCGCCAAGCAGTGATGCAGCTTTAGACCAATTGAAAATGTCCAAAGAAGCACTTAGATGGCCATCTTCTGGGTTGTAACACCGTGTAGTCTGGTAGAAGTTCGCCGACGTCTCAGAGGTCCTTGCTGCCTCTGTCATTTGGTTGATGATATCATCACCCTGATTATGGGGGCAGCAAGGACCTCTGGAACGTTATTAAGATTCTACCAAATTAAACAGTGCCACTACCCAGAAGACACGCGTCCTTGGAATCTATGCAGTGAAAACCTCTGATAAAAAAAGTGCTTATTTTTTTCCAGTAGTGAGCGTAACAACTCCGATCACTTTGTCCAGAATTAAATTCAGGTTGACAGGTTAAAAGATGTGTAATTGAAAAGTGAATTTTCATACAAGAAGGATGCAGGATAGCTGTGCACGTGATTGGTGTACTCTCTCTCACCATCTAACATTTACCTTATAATTGAACCAAAAAAGGCACCGAAGCTTCAGATTTTTTTAAATATGAGTGGGATGGGATTTTTTGAACTCCTTAAGATTACAAAAAATGGCACTTTCTGTATCGCAACTTAGATGTGTTTTGATATCGTCTGGAGGTAGAGGAATGGTTAGAATAGAGAATAAAATTGGAAATATTTAGTGGCGTGAAGAGTTGTCAGAAGAAGGAACGAGTGTTTTTTCACAGCACCAGCGATGCCAAACAAAACCTAGTTTCTCCCTGTTATATTAAGGAGATCCATACCAGTGCTGCCATCTAGAGAGGCTGCAGTACAGTGGTGTGATTCCCGGTGGGAGCCGAGAAATGGCTTGCTCGTGCGCCGCATACTCGGGGGGATAAAGTCGGGCTGCCACGATCGCTCACTCGGTCACCCACTCAAGGGTTTGTATAGAAGTTGGCAACAATGTATTGCTTTGCCTTAGTGGTGTACCAATTGAATCAGTACCTCTACTGACAGTTTACTGCCACTCATAGCGAGCATTGTTATTTGTAAATGATTTATGTAGAACATGAAGAAGCAATTTCATTTCCGCAGACCGTTCAGTTTTTTTTTGGATTCTGTAATGCTAAATTTTTGTACTTTCTTTATTTCAACATAAATATGTAAGTATGTAACAAATTAATGTTTAATATTGTAACATAAATTGATTTAATTGATTGTGCACGCAGCTAGTTAGCAAACATTACGTCTTACGTAGGTTATTGGTACATCACTAAGAATCAGTATTGGAAAATTTGACCCTTGAAGTTTTGGCAGATTATTTTAATTGTGCTACTTTGTTTGTGAATCTTTTTTGTGTCAGGTAATCAAGTGGGAAAATGTGACATGCATTTTGTAAGACAAGATAATTTCTGGCTTTTATTGGCA